TCATTCACTCAGAATTGGATGCCAGCTGTACAAGTCTGATAAAAGTAGGAGCGACTACATATTATGAGGTTACATTGGATGACTTTCAGCTTGTTGATCCTGAGGAAGTGGACAGCTCTCAGCCTTGCAAGGTAGTCCAGACAGGAAGCATGACCAGATGGGCTAATTGTATTTATTGTAAGGCTTCATCAACAGAATCTTGAAAGTCTGAAAGTACATTTCTCCTCTATCACCTTTACAGCCCAAGAAACTAGGGAGGGTCCCTTCTGAGATATGCCATGCTCACATTCCCTTTGCCAGCTAAGCTGCCTCTTGTCCGACCATTCTCCTGGCGGTCACTCTTTCCCCTTTCTCCCAAGATCATTCCCATATACCATTAGAAAAGCTTCCTTGGTGATGTTGGCTTTGCCACCTGTGAATTGGATTCTTGCTCTTACTGGCTGGTGGAAGCCACCAAAGATGTAACAGGAAGATGGGTGAGGTTGGTGGTGAATGCATCATTGGGATAGGGGACGGTGTCTCCAGCCTTAAAGGAGGCACTGGTACACACCCTCCATAAGAAACCATCATTTGAATCAGCTGTTTTAGACCCCTGTTGGCCTACTTTTGGGAATGATTGTTGAGAAGGCAGTGGTTCTTCAGTTGTAGAACACCCTAAAGATGAGGGAATCTAGACCATTTTCAATCTTGTTTCACATCTGGCTATGAATTTAAAGTAGTATTGCTCTTGTAGATGAGCTGTTGTGGGCCTGAGATAGGTCTGGTTTGACCTTCCTGCTTGATCTTTCAGTTGTCTTCTACACTATTATTCACAGTATCCTTCTAGTCCAGTGTTTCTCAACCTTAGCAATTTTAAGATAAGTGAACTTCAACTCCCAGAATTTCCCAGCCAGAATACCCCAGCCAGCCGTAAGTCTGCATATCTTAAAGTTGTCAAGATTGAGAAACCCTATTCTAGACCATCTCTGGGGATTTAGGGCCACTGTAGATTTCCTCCTATCTTCATGGATAATTCCAGTTGGGCAGCGAGGAAATTGTGCCGTAGGGTTTTCTACTGCAAGTAGCATAGGACTCAAATCACTCACCCTTCATAATGTCTATATGAAGCCTCTAGGGGAGGTTATCTGCTGGCATGGAGTCAGGTATTATCAGTGTGTGGATGATACTCAATTTTGCACTTGACCCTGGGCCAAATGGGAGATGTGGTTGAACCGCTGTGCTGATGCAAAGAAAATGTTAGATTCTGGATGGGGAGCAACAGTGTTAGGATCAGTCCCAACAAGACTGAATGGTTGTGGGTTCAGAAGCCAACTGAGATCAGTAATTCTCCATCTTTTGTTCTAGATGAATCATAAATAACCGTCCTGCTCAACTGTTGCATAATCTGGGGCAGCTGTAGATGGGGGACTGGGGCTTCTGTACAGCTCCATCTTGTGTGCCACTTTTTACCTTTTCTGGATCAGGAGGCCTTTCTCACAGTCACTTAGTCCTTGGTCACCTCTCAGGACTACTGTAATGCCTTCTGCTTGGAGCTGCTCATGAAGAACTCCTGAAAGCTACAGCAACAAGTAGTTACAGATTTGCTATGGTGGTGTGACACCATTTGTTGTTATTACATTGAATTGTTAGTTATTCTTTTCCCAAATGAGGCCACTTTCAGCCCTTACTATCTATTTAAAGTGTCGTAACAGCTATATAATTACTAGATGAGGCTTTCATGCTGCCATCACCCTAGCTTTTTTATTTGGGAAGAAAATACCATTAAAATGGAAAAGATGTCAACTATTGAGGGGTGACACTATGAGCCCCCCATATGGATGCAATCTTTTCTTTTCTTTTTTCTCATTGGATCTCTCGCATGCATGCAGCTTACAAGCATGGTGATCTTTTTCATATGAACATGCAGATGCAATCCCACCACTTTAGAGGAAAGATTAAATACACAACAGAAGGGCTCATGGGCTGCCTTCTCTTAGCACCACATTTGTACCTCTGAAGCATCCCAAGATCATGCCAACAAAATTTGGTGACAAAATATCATATTTTGCATAGTGTATTATTTTTGGAGCTGTTTTAAGGATAGTAATGGGGACACAAGGCTCCCATACTCCCATTTCCACCTTTAACTCTTCCCTAGACTCAAAATCAAAGGAACATTTGCCAAATTTGGCCCATCCCTTTCGGCAACATAGTGTCACTAAAGGCTTCTTGTAGCTCATAGAAGATAAATTGCAGTCCCAACCCCCCCAAAAATTTATCCACACTGGTTTTGATCTCTTGTATCACTTCCTCCCTCTTCTTTATACCTTTTGTAGAAATAATATTATCTTCCAATTTCTGGGACCATACAAAGGGTAATCAGATTCTTTTCCTGCTTTAAGATTAGCCAGGTCTTCTTGATGATAATCTCTAACACAATGTGATTCTCTATAATACCTTTAGAACACAATCCATCCTTACAAATCTACTCAGAGATAAAGTCCACTAAACTCTATCTCCAGAATCTAGATTATTTGGGGTGAGAAAAATCTAAAAGCAAATCTGTAACTACTTGTTGCTGTAGCTTTCAGGAGTTCTTCATGAGCAGCTCCAAGCAGAAGGCATTACAGCAGTCCTGAGAGGTGACCAATGTTACAAAGTATCATTCTGTTTAATCTTAATAAATTGTCTTTTCTGGCCATCCTTTCCCTGAAGTTTAAATCATTAACATTTCTCATCTGTCACTTATATTTGAATGCTGTATGGATTTAAAAACAAGTAGGCTACCAGGAGGATGGAAATAGAAGTGAAAAACATTGCATCAGCACATGTTAAGAGTAAATGATCCATCATAAATTGAAGTTATTGCTTCTTGTTTCACATGTAAGCTCAACAGCAGACTATTTCTAGGGCAGAGGCAGATACTGTTCTCGTACTACCATTCTGCCCCCTAATGGAAGAAAAATAGAAAATGGGGAAAATTAATTTCTACTGTAAGGAAACGCATCTCTACCACAGTATCTATCTACCAAGGGTATATTCACTTACCATTGCAGGCTACCAGGTATATAATTAATAAACAATTTAACTATTCATTAAGTCCTTTTTTAATGAGGCTGTTTGCATTTTGTGTAATTTCTACTTACTTTGCAAAAAATAACAATTATAAAGACATTTAAGTCTGTTTTGCAGACCAAATTTTAAGGCTTATTAAAAGCATATAGAAATCCCAATCCTTGTCTGAGAGACTATCCCATTAAATGTTGTACATAGATTAGTATAGGGGTTATATTTAAAATGGAACAGCATATATTTGTGTTCTCTCTCATCAAATAATTTAAACAGCACAGTTCTTAAAACTTATCTATATGGTTATGTATTTTGGGACACCAAAAAACATCCAATTTTCAGTGGTTATGCCATTTCTGAAAGAAAACTAGTGATTCCATTTCAAATGTGATTGCTCATCATTGCCATATATGGCAAATTTCTTTCCAAAGGAAGACCTAAAAATGTTTTGAAGAATAAATGTATATACATTTATATGCATACACCCTTGTGAGTATAGTGCTTCTCTCTTCAGCTAACTAGATAATATATATGCATTCACATATTGTTTCATTAACCAACTAGTTTATATCCAGCTTTTCAGCCCATCAAATAATCAAAGGCACTTCCAATCTAAAATCAAGTATAAACAATTAAAAACTGATTTAAAACAATTAAAATATTATTAGGATAATCTAAACAGCCTGGATGAAGAGGAACATCAACTTCTTTTCAGAAAGCAGGAAGAGTGGGAGCTAAATTCAGCCTAGCATTATTCATTTAGAGCATCTATCTCACACACATCCAGGGCCTGAAGATGCATCTTCAAAGATACGTATTTGAGCATTACTATCTTTCCACCAATAATCTGAATTGTATTCCTTATTAAATCCAGTGTTTTATGCACTCTGTACTTAGGGTGATTTTAGTCAATGCTTATTGGAGTTTACTCTCAGGAAATCAAAATATGCCCAGAGGATATGTTTTTCTTATATACATATCATAGCTATGCAATGGAGAAAAGATCTAGAACCATTTGAATTTTCTGGGTAGCTTTATCCTTGACACTTCTTTACATGGAATAGCAAACTGCAAAATATTGTTGAATAGCCAGGGAGAAGGAGAAGGAGAAGGAGAAGGAGAAGGAGAAGGAGAAGGAGAAGGAGAAGGAGAAGGAGAAGGAGAAGGAGAAGGAGAAGGAGAAGGAGAAGGAGAAGGAGAAGGAAGCTCACTTTCACTTTACCAAGGCCATCTTCCCCAATCTGATTTCATCCAGATATGTAGGAACCTCATGGCTTCTAGCTATGACTTCTAAGAGTTGCAGACCCAACATTTCTGCTGAATGCCAGGTTGGTCTGGTCTCTTGTATAAGTTGAAATATGGTGGAGAAATAATGACATAAATGCACATGCAAAATGTTTCTTTTAGTTAAATAAATACTATATTCTCAAGTTACTGTTTTTTCTTCCTGATTTACATGAATCCTAGAAATGTGTAACATATACATATATAGGTGACTTATACAGGTGACCTGTGATGGGCACACAAATACAAAGGTGACATTTAGCTCACTCTCATCAGATACTTTATACTAGCCTTTTCCAGCCACACATCCTTCAATTGTGCTGGATTGCAACTTCCATCCTCAAACTCTATTGCCTGCTGTATGCCGTTGTGAGGCTGCAGCCAAGGAAAAAAATCACAAATTTTGCATTCCTGTTTGGTAGCAAAAGGTTTGAAATCGGGCGCGGCTGGTAAGACTTTCCTTCCTGCGCCCCTTCTCTCACACACCCCTTGCCCCCTCTCTCTGCTTCGGGAAGCGTGAAGCGGCGCAGCGCAACTAATGAATCCCGTCAGTTTCGCTGCGAAGAAGAGGAGGGGACGGAGCGGGCGGGCGCTTGGTTAGAAGAGAGCGGCTGCTGCGCGTTCGTGACATCACTCCTCCCTGCTTGCTTATATACTTAGGGGACATCCGGAGCTCCCTTTAGGGTCCAGTTCTTCAAAAATCAACTCAAGGCAACAGTCCTCTTTCTGCGCGACGCTCTATCTCACGCCCAGATAGCCGGCCTTTTCGTGTATGGGCTTCACTTTCTAGAGGGAGAGGGAGAGCGCGGATGGCAAGAATGGTGAAGATGCAGCTGGTGTGCGCGATGCTGCTGGCGTCCGCGTCCTGGAGCCTGGGTTTAGGTAAGCTGGCTCTCTCTGTCAGGGCTTCCCTTCCGACGGGGAGAAGGATTTGGGCTAATCCAGCAGTGCTGCTAGAATGGGAGGAGTTTGTGTTGCCCAATGCAGGAAGGCCAATTTCTGGTCAATTTCAAAAAGTTCCACTTCCAATATAAAATTTAACCAGTACTTCTTGAGTAACTGCTTTAAAAGAGAAACTGTTGGATGAAAATGTATTTAAATAGACAGAGAAAGGCAAGTTTCCAGAAAGTGTTTCTAACCTGTTTATTTATCAGTTTGACTCTTAAAAATTGTTTAACTGTAAACAGCTGCATACTCTCTTTCTGGAGAGGTTCTTTGAGGCAGATCATCCTAGGACAGGGATGAGATTTGGAGACTTACTGAAAGACACCTGTGATTTAGCACAGGGAAGAGGAAATCCCCTGCTTCCAGTCTCCAGACGTTTTGGATTCTGTGATGGACTATAGAAAGAACCCAACCATTAGATTAAAAAGAGGCAGAAATGTAATTTGAGAAAGTGTCTCAGGCTTAACCCTCCTTAGTTCTCTTGAAAATAAAAGTGGGAGGGAGGGAAGACACATTTAGATTTGCAAGATTCTGTTACTGTAACCTTATAATAAAAGTAGTATTAGCATTCATAACTTTGGTTGCCTAGTCTGGTCTACCTAGAAGGGCTGAT